ACACATACACACACACACGAACACACATACAACACATATATATAATATATATATATATATATACTATATATATATATATATATATATATATATATATATATATATATATATATATATATATATATATATATATATATATATATATAGACGTACATGATATAAGCCGCGAAATATTTAGAGCGGCCGAGGGCGATTTGAATCCCAAATGTTATTTCCGTGTCATTGAAGCCCCTTCGCGCCGGCCGAGCTCTGGGGCCAAATGGACGTAAATGCTGTTCTGTTTCGGAATATTTTCGCTCGCCATGCTGGCAGGATCTGTTTGATGATTCGGCTGTAAATGCATACAGTGTAATTGCAATCTATCAGATACAATTAATACACGGGGCGCTCGAAATTTGGACGCGATGCGGATTCACTCAACTAATCATTAGTAAAAAGGGATTGATTGGCTTATTCTGCGTTGGGCTGTCTGCTTGCTTTACCCTGCATCTGTAGGTACGAACGAATTGACATAAACGCCACACATGCTTACAATCACATGCTCACGGAGCACACAGACATACACACACACATTTACGTATATATGCCTTAACTGCTGAAAACACAGACACACACACACACACACACACACACACACACATGTCTACACACATACACACACACACACACATGTCTACACACATACACACACACACACACATGTATACATATGTATTTGTGTGTGTGTGTATATGTGTATTCCAGCTATAACAGCTGGGAAGTTCATACAGACATGCACACACACACACACACACACACACACACACACACACACACACACACACACACACACACACACACACACACACACACACTCACTCACACACTCACCAAGACGCATTAATCTCTGTAGGTATATTCCAACAGTTGGAAAATGAACACACACACATATGTATCTGAGTATGCCGAAGGCCTTTTCATTGCGTTGTTTCCTCCGGATAATACAGCGAAAGACCTTGTATTTATTGTTCTTTCTTTCGTTTTTTTCACAATTTGTTTGGCATGAATCCTGCACACTCACATATACATGGACTTATGTATACATTTATATTTTACATATTAATACACACATACACACAACAGGGGGTGAAGGAAAAATATTGTGAAGAGGTCATGGGGCCATAAAGTTGGTTCCTCTTCTAAACGCCATAAGCATTAAATCATTGATCAAATCGGTCAGTTTCTATTCAGAAAATAATCTAGACAATTTAACCAAGCAGGAGAGAGCGGTGCTTGTTAGCAGAATAGAGCACTCAGAAATTTTCAATATCTATAAAGGATTTTTTTTTGTAAGTGGTACCAGTCTATTTCAAACTGCGTCTTCTAGTGTACAGTTGAGGCTAAATTAATTATTTAAACATTGCATCCAATATTGTACTTATGTGATTTCTGGGGAAAAGGGTCCATAGCTCGTAGAGCTTTAGAAATGTTGACAACATGGTCTAAAAGCCGACTGCCTTAGGGTATTGTGTGATATGTTGGGTAGTGGTAACGTTCTCGTCTAGTAAGCTGACCAGCGTTCGAATCCCGCACTGCCAGTGGACGCCGACCCCGTTCCATGCACACAAGGGGTAATTTGGAAGCAAAAATAAACAGACAGTCGTAATTTGACAAGAACCTGTCACACAAAACATAAGAATAACCATTATAACAAATGGAATAAAGTAAATAAATAATTATTATTGATGCTTCTACCTGGCTCGACATTATTATAACGACATGCCATTATTTCTGCTTGTATTTTCACTTTAAAAATGAATGTTGTTGAAACTAAAATGACCATCAGTAAAATGACATCCATTCGTAGCTCTTACGAATTTGACAACATATGTTGTAATTGCGAATTTACCTTATCAATCACTTTATAAAACCACCAGGAGCGCGTGTTCGTTACTGCTAGCTGTCTTTGGCTTTGGAGTATCAATATTCTCATTCATGCTCATATTAGAGAGAGAGAGAGAGAGAGAGAGAGAGAGAGAGAGAGAGAGAGAGAGAGAGAGAGAGAGAGAGAGAGAGAGAGAGGAGAGAGAGAGAGAGAGAAGAAAGGAGGAAAGAAAGAAAGAAAAAACGAAAGAAAGAGAGAGAGAGAGAGAGGTGGGGGGGGGGGGGAGGGGGGAAAGAGAGAGAGAAAACAAGACAGATAAAGGCAAACATAGATAGAGATAAAGAAAGAAAGATAAACAGACGGACTGGCAGACAGACAGACATAGAGAGACAGAGAAAGAGAGAGAGGGGCAGAAAGAGATTGAGAGACAAAGAGAAAGAGGGAGAGAACCCAAGAGAAACGAAAACAGAAATGGCAAAGAGAGAGAGAGAGAGAGAGAGAGAGAGAGAGAGAGAGAGAGAGAGAGAGAGAGAGAGAGAGAGAGAGAGAGAGAGACAGACAGACAGACAGACAGACAGAGAGAGAGAGAGAGAGAGAGAGAGAGAGAGAGAGAGAGAGAGAGAGAGAGAGAGAGAGAGAGAGAGAGTGAGTGAGTGAGTGATAGAGAGAGAGAGAGAGAGAGTGAGAGAGAGAGAGAGAGAGAGAGAGAGAGAGAGAGAGAGAGAGAGAGAGAGAGAGAGAGAGAGAGAGAGAGAGAGAGAGAGAGAGAGAGAGAAAGAGAGAATGAATTTTTCAGATCCAACTAGAAATACAAGATACACTTAACCAAAGCGAACCCATCTTTTTCCAACAGAGATATAGTTATGTTTTAATGTCACACCTACTATAATCACACGTAAGGCTTGATGTGTTAGTGAGTTCCCTTCATGTTACAGTTCCTTGATAACTAATTAATCACAATTAACTATATGACTCTTAGCATTATTACTATTACAAGATTAACATACGGCTGGAATTGGTTACGCTAATGGTCACTGACGAGAGAGGAATCGATTTTAAAGATTATGATTCCTGATTACAAATACAAATGGACCTGTGAAGAGAGAGAGAAGAGAGAGAGAGAGAGAGAGAGAGAGAGAGAGAGAGAGAGAGAGAGAGAGAGAGAGAGAGAGAGAGAGAGAGAGAGAGAGAGAGAGAGAGAGAGAGAGAGAGAGAGAGAGAGAGAGGGAGAGAGAGAGAAGGAAGGAAAGAAAGAAAGAGAGAGAGAGAGAGAGCGAGCAAAGAAAATATCTTATCCTTTATCTTTAATAAATAAATAAATAAAATCATATAGGAAGATGAAAAAAAAAATGATGCAGAAGAAGAAGTAAAGGTAGAAATAATAATAGAAGACGAAGAAGAACAGCAAGAAGATAGAGGGGGAAGAAAAGAATGGAAAAGAAGCGAGGAGGAAACAAAAAAAAAAAAAAAAAAAGGAAAAAGTAGGAGAGAAGGAGCTGAAACAGAGAAAGGAAAAGTACAAGAACAAGATAGAGGAAGAAAGGGATGGGAATAATGAGAGGGAGAAGCAGAGGTAGAAGAAAACGAAAAAGAAGTAGGAGAATGAAGAGGAGGAGGCTGTGGAAGAGAAGAAGACCGAAGAGAATGGAGGAGAAGGAGACGAGGAAGAAAAGGAGGAGGGGGAATGGTGAAAAGGAGGAGTAAACGCCTCCTCCGCACGCCCACGGACGGCCGCCCGCGGGTGTTAGCACAGGGACAAAAGGCGCTCTTTGTGCGCGCCGGATATTGACTTCGAATCTAGGGAAAGTTGTGTTGTACTTCGTATAGAGTGCTGTACGAGGCCGGGGGGGGGGGTAATGCTCCTATTATTATTATCATTTTATTTTTTTTTTATTTTTTTTATTTCATTTATTAATATTTATTTTGATTTATTTCGTTATTCATATTTTGTCGGCACTGAGAGGATTATGGTCTTGTTTGTTTGTTCGTTTGTTTTCGGTACTCAGTAGACTTACTGTTCGTGTTAAGGACAGGGCAGTGCAAGGCGGCATCCCGCATCCCGCCGTCTCCCCGCGTCTCCTCTGCCGCAGCATCCCAGAGCTCTGACACTGACATCTCTGACACTGACATCTCCCGACATCTCGCGCCCCTGACATCTCGCGCCCCTGACATCTCGCGCCTGACATCTCGCGCTCCCTGACATCTCGCGCTCGACATCTCGCCCCTGACATCTCCCATGAACATTCGCGCCCCTGAAGCATCTCTGACATCTCGCGCCCCTGACATCTCATCTCCCCTGACATCTCGCGCCCTGACATCTCGCGCCCCTGACATCTCTGACATCTCGCGCCCCTCATCTGAGACATCCTCGCGCCCTGCCTGACATCTCGCGCCCCCTGACATCTCGCGCCCTGACATCTCTGACATCCGCCCCTGACATGACATCGCCGCCCTGACATCTCGCGCCCCTGACATCTCGCGCCCCTGACATCTCGCGCCCCTGACATCTCGCCGCCCCTGACATCTCGCGCCCCTGAATTCTCGCCGCCTGACATCTCGCGCCCCTGACATCTCCCCTGACATCTCGCGCCCCTGACCATCTCGGCCCCTGACTCTCGCGCCCCTGACATCTCGCGCTGACGACACCTGACATCTCGCGCCCCTGACATCTCGCGCCCCTGACATCTCGCCGCCCGACATCTCGCGCCCCCTGACATCTCGCGCCCTGACATCTCGCGCCCCTGACATCTGCGCCCCTGACACATCTCGCGCCCCTGACATCTCGCCGCCCCTGACATCTCGCGCCCCTGCCCGCTGAAACTCTGCGCCCCTGTACATCTCGCCGACCCTGACATCTCGCGCCCTCTGACATCTCGCCGCCCCTGACTCCGCGCATCTCGCGCCCCTGACATCTCGCCGCCCTGACATTCGCGCCCCTGACATCTTCGCGCCCTGACATCTCGGCGCCCCTGACATCTCCGCCCCTGACATCTCGCGCCCTCTGACATCTTCGCCGCCCCTGACATCTCGCGCCCCTGACATCTCGCGCCCCTGACATCTCGCGCCCCTGACATCTCGCGCCCCTGACATCTCTCGCTGAATCTCCCTGACATCTCGCGCCCCTGACATCTCGCCCCTACTCTCGCCCCCTGACATCTCGCGCCCCTGACATCTCGCCCCTGACATCTCGCGCCCATCCCCTGACATCTCGCCGCCCCTGACATTCGCGCCCCTGACACTGATCTCGCCCCCTGACATCTCGCGCCCCACTGATCTCGCGCCCCCTGACATCTCGCGCCCCTGACATCTCGCGCACCTGCCGCCCCTGACAATCATCTCGCGCCCCTGACATCTCGCGCCCCTGACATCTCATCGCGCCCCTCTCGCCATCTCGCCCCTGACACACCCTGAACATCTCGCCCCTGACATCTCTCGCCCCCTGTACATCTCGGCCCTGACATCTTCGCGCCGACATCTCGCCCCCCTGACTCTCGCGCCCCTTGACATCTCGCCCCCTGACATCTCGCGCCCCTGACATCTGCCCCCTGACATCTCGCGCCTCCTGACATCTCGCGCCCTGACATCTCGCGCCCCTGACATCTCGCGCCCCTGACATCTCGCCGCCCTGACATCTCGCGCCCCTGACATCTCCGCCGCCCCTGACATCTCGCGCCCCTGAATCTCGCGCCCCTGACATCTCGCCCCTGACATCTCGCGTGACGCCCTGACATCTCGCCCTGACACTCCGGTGTTCTGACACCTGCTCGCCGCCCCTGACATCTCGCGCCCTGACATCTGCCCCTGACATCTCGCGCCACCTCTGACATCGCCCCTGACATCTCGCGCCCCCTGACATCTCTGCCGCCCCTGACATCTCGCGCCCCTGACATCTCGCGCCCTCTGACATCTCGTCGCGCCCCTGACATCTCGCCGCCCTGACATCTCGCGCCCCTGCCATCTCGCACCCCTGACATCTCGCGCCCCTGACATCCGCGCCCCTACATCTCGCGCCCCTGACATCTCGCCGCCCTGACATCTCGCCCCCTGACATCTCGACGCCCCTGAATCTCGCGCCCCTGACATCTCGCGCCCCTCGACATCTTCGCCGCCCCTGGACATCTCGCGCCCCTTGACATCTCGCGCCCCTGACATCTCGCGCCCCTGACATCTCGCGCCCCTGACATCTCGCGCCCCTGCGCACCCCTGACATCTCGCGCCCCTTGACATTCTCGCCCCGACCCCTGACATCTCGCGCCCCTGACATCTCGCCGCCCCTGACATCTCGCGCCCCTGACATCTCCGCCCCCGGTCAACGCTTGCTACGGTCGTTCTTTTCGTGGTTTCTGCATATATATGTTACCTTATTTTCGTTTTGCGGTTTTATTTTACGTTAGTTTATATAGGTCACTTCTGTTTGAGTTTGCCCTTTGACCCCGTACTCTTATTTGCGATTCATTTTAAAATAAAATAATTTCTCGATTCTTCTGTGAGTTTGAGGGTCAGTTTTGTCTTATAAAATCATCACTTATTTTTATCTAACCTTTTCGTTCATTTCCCTAGCTTTCTTCTGGTTTTAAGAAATATTTATTTTAACGTTATATTTTTCGTCTGTCTGCCTACCCCATCTTGATTATGCATTTTCTGTCTCATCTCGTTATGAGGACCTTTTTATTTATGTTCTTTTTTGTATTTTATGATGTTATATGTACAAACTTTCGTTTTTACGAACGATGTTCGGCGTCACCAAGTTTATAAACATAAGCCGCGTTGAGCGAGAAATACGTTGACTCTCCTCGAAACAACGGCGTTTTGCTCTCCTCCTGGCTGACCTATCCTGACATACCGGACGGTGGAATACGCTGCACATATCTTGGCTTCATCCAACACGAAAAATATGTCAAGTCCTGTTTCCTGGCTATTTTTCTTTGTGCATAGGAGCTGGTCGTGATTCTTTGTTAATAAACGTAAATATAAGCCTAGTCTTTTAAAGTTTTACATTCTTAGAAATTTTACATGAATTATGAAGCTCGTGAATCTTATTGAACCTTTATTCTTTCCTTTCATTGTTTTATTGTCTAGATTACCGTTTTAACTTTATGTTAATCGATAATGCTGAGGTATATCAACGGGGAGTCAGTTGGTTTCTTTATTCACGCACCACTCCTTAGAAACCAATCTGGCATGAACCCATTAAACAAGTTCACATTGGTTACGGAACCACAATACCCCACTGCAATAGTATTGTTCCTGTTAGTATTTTCTTGTTATTTTGATCTTATCTTTTTTGCTATTTTTATCTGGTAATATTTGTATTATGGTGTTGTTCTTACTATGTCTTTTTATAACGAAGATAAAACTCGGTCAGTGTTAGCACCGCGTTCTGCCATCGGTCGCCCTTCCCGTTCCTCCTCCTCCCTCCACCGGCAACGTGCGAATTGAGACAGAGGGAGAGAGGCCCGGGACGCATACTAATATGTAGATAAAGACAATGTGCAGCTGTTCATCTGGTTTTGCATAATTTGTCCAGTTTCAAAACCCTGGGAAGTGCATCTTAAATTAAATGAAATATTAATGGCAAGACAATTATTTTCGAGAGAGAAAAAACATTATTGCCAGAAAAAGTAAAGAGAGAGAGA